ATTATAAAACAATTTTACCAAACTTTTCTGCTCACGGATTCAGTGCAGCAACTACAAAACTAGGACGCTGGGATAGAAAAATTACTTGTGAGACTTTAAAAACACAAAAATGCCTCAAAAATAAAATGTTGCTCGTTGAATCTAAACAACTCACGGGGCAGGGAACAAGAAATCAAACCAACCAGCTATGACAGAGGCTTCATAAACGAAGATAAAAAGATGATTGAATCAAATCTAATCTAATTGAGCTAAATTAAATCACGCTATATTAACCCTGGATGGAAATTATATTGCTGCTGTTCATTACAAAATGAAAAAAGAATGTTATTAAATAAAAGGGGAAAAGTGCTTGCAGAAAAGTAAAGGTTGGTGGTTTTCCTGACAATAAAATTAAGATAAGATTAGATAAGAGAAGAACTTTATTGATCCTGAAGGAAATTGTTGTGCCAGGGTTTCAATACAAAGAACAAACACAAGGAATCACGCAAGATGTTGAATCAAAGTTCTTATTTGAGTGTCCAAATGATGAATCCACACCTCAATTTGTTTAATTATTATAAACATGAGAAAAAATATCTGCAGGTTCTGTTGAAATTTACTAACAGATCTGGGTTCAGGGGAGACTCTATAAAGGTCCAGATCTGGACCACTGTCTGTCTTCTAAAGACCGGTTCTGTAAAGGATCAAAAAGCTGTGAAGTTTTGAACCAATTGCTGCAGTTTACAGATTACTACAGATGTTTTCAGATGAATATACATATTTACAGATGTTTACAAATGAATATAGATGTTTACAGCTTATCACAGATGTTTACAGATGAATATACATATTTACAGATTATTACAGATATTTTCAGATGGATATAGGTGTTTACAGATTAGTACAGACATTTACAGATGAATATATATGTTTACAGCTTTTCACAAATGTTTTTAGATAAATATAGTTTTTTACAGATTAGTACAGATGTTTACAGATGAATATACATATTTACATATGTTTACAGATTAATATAGATGTTTACAGCTTATCACAGATGTTTTTAGATGAATATAGTTTTTTACAGCTTATCACAGATGTTTACAGATGCATTTTGATGCTTACAGGTTATTACATTTGTTTACAGATGAATATACATGTTTACAGATATTACAGATGTTTACAGATGAATATAAATGTTTACAGATTATTACAGATGATTATGGATGTTTACATATTATTACGGATGTTTACAGATTAATATATATGTTTACAGATTAATACATTTGTTTACAGATGAATAAAGATGTTTACAGATGAATATAGATGTTTACAGATGAATATAAATGTTTACAGATTATTACAGATGAA